CAGTGCGACAGCCTGGGGGAAGAGTGGCTGGAGAGCTGGCCGGTGGAAAAGGACCTGGGGGTGAACATGAGCCAGCAGCATGCTCCAGTGGCCAAGAGAGCCAATGGTATCCTGGCTTGTATCAGGAATAGTGTGGCCCGCAGGACCAGGTGATAGTGCCCCTGTACTCAGCACTGGTGAGGCCACACCTCGAGTACTGGGTTCAGTTTTGGGCCCCTCACTAGAAGAAGGACATTGAGGTGCTGGAGCATGTCCAGAGGAGGGCAACGAAGCTGGTGAAGGGTCAAAAGCACAAGTCTTATGAGGAGCGGCTGAGGGAAGTGGGGTTGTTTAGCCTGGAGAAGAGGAGGCTGAGGGGAGACCTTCTTGCTCTCTACAACTACCTGAAAGGAGGTTGTAGCAAGGTGGGGGTTGGTCTCTTTTCCCGAGTAACAAGTGATAGGACGAGAGGAAATGCCCTCAAGTTGTGCCAGGGGAGGTTTATATTGGATATTGGGAAAAATTTATTCACTCAAAATGTTGTCAGGCATTGGAACAGGCTGTCCAGGGAAGCGGTTGAGTCCCCATCCCTGGAGGTATTTAGAAGACATGTAGATGTGGCACTTAGGGACGTGGTTTAGTGGGACATGGCAGTGTTGGGTTTGTGGTTGGACTAGATGATCTTAAAGGTCTTTTCCAACCTAAATGATTCTATGATTCTATGGTTATACATACAAATTGGGGGACAAGAGGCTGGAGAGCAGCCCTGTGGAAAGAGATCTGGGGGTCTGGGTTGATGGCAAGTTGAATATGAGTCAACAGTGCACCCTGGCAGCAAAAAGGGACATCAGTGTCCTGGGGTGCATCAAGCACAGCATCGCTAGCCGGTTGAGGGAGGTGATTGTCCCACTCTGCACCGCTGCACTGGGGCGGCCCCACCTCGAGGACTGTGTGCAGCTTTGGGCACCTCAATATAAGAAGGACATCAAACTACTAGAGTGTGTCCAGAGGAGGGGGACCAAGGTGATGAAAGGCCTTGAGGGCGAGACTTAGGAAGGAGCGGCTAAGGTCACTTGGCTTGTTCACCTTGGAGAAGTGAAGGCTGAGGGGTGACCTCATGGCAGTCTGGGACTTCCTCAAGGGCGGCAGCGGAGGGGGAGGTGCTGATCTCCTCTCTCTGGTGACCAGCGATAACGACATGAGGAAATGGAATGAAGCTGCATCTGGGGAAGTTCAGACTGGACATTGGGAAAAGGTTCTTCACTAGGAGGGTGGTTGGTCACTGGAACAGGCTCCCCAGGGAAGTGGTCACGGCACCAAGCCTGTCATAGTTCAAGGACTATGTGGATGATGCACTTAGTCATATGGTTTAGTTTTAGGTAGTCCTGCAAGGAGCAGGGAGTTGACTCGATGATCCTTATGGGTCCCTTGCAACTCAAGATACTCTTAAGGTTTTTTTTCATACAGCTTAAATAATGTTTTTACAATGTAGCTTTTATTTAACTAGCTTTCTTAACTGATTGAAACCATAACTTGCCATAAGACTTCAAGACTTAAATGTGAAAGTGATTAGTTGGCAACTGTTGGTATTTTTAGTTGAAAAAGAGAATGACTTTTTGATAGAAGGGATAGCACTTTTAGTAGCATTCATTACTCGTTGCATAGTTCTGTAAACAAGTGATTTGTTTTTATGTCGACACTTTTCATCTGGATGCAGGTGATAAAGAATTAAAAACTGTACAAGGAGTAGTGACAAGATTTTGCCATGATTATGGGATGATAGATGACATGATTATCTTCACAAAGGATGCTGTTACAAAAAATATGCTGCTGACTGTTGGACAAGAAGTTACCGCCACTGTTGAAGAGGATAAAACATCGGGTGGCTTGAAGGCCATCAGGGTAAGAGGTGAAGATAAATAGTAGTCTCGCTTTCGCAGTAAATCCCTTGAGACTTTCTTTTGAAGTTATGGTAGTTTTAGCCTCCTGAATTCTACAAAATAGGAGAAGTTGCCAGCCTTTCATCTAGTGGGGATAACTTATTTTGGTTTTTGTTATTATTTTATTCCATCCCCTTTAAAATGTTCCTTTAATACTGATTCTCTGAATATAGGTCTAAATGTAGTGAATATGAAACTATTGTTTGAGATAATTGCATCAGAATTTGTTTAATCATACCTAGTTCAAATCTCTGTGTTAACTTTTTTGAGCTTCAAAGTCGATTTCATGTTATTGTTATATGAATGGATAAGAAAATAAAAATAAGGGCTGCAAGTTTGCTCTTTGTGCACAGGAGTGAATAAAAAAATAAATTTCAAAACTTCCTGTTGTAAAAAATCACAACTTAATGTCATGGAGAGTTATAAAAATGGAGATTTCAGTACCTTTCTTGCTTAACACTTCATTTGTAAACCTACTTCAAGCTTGATTATATGTTGTCACAACTTTAAACTACTCTGGTTTTTTTCATCGTATAGGCTCAACTCTGAGGTGCCTATGATAATCTAGCTGAGAAGCTGAGTCAAGTGGCCATTCTCCATTTAGATATTAAGTAAATATGAATGGTCCTTCAAAGACTGGCAGCAGTGCAGAAGCAGTTGATAACTGGGTGGTACAGAACCCATCTTGTCTTGTATCTGCTTGGTTTAGCTGTATTACACTTTAAGTATGGCACTAGACTAGCATACTTCATCTGATAAACTCACCCTGACCAAAAGTCTGAGCCAAAGCTTAAGCTGCTTGTACAGAGCAAATCATAATGTAACTAGTTTAAAAGTTAACTTGAGTTTTCTAGTAAATGAATGTTTTATAATTAAGCATCTTACCAGCTCATGCCATCTATAAAGAATGTAATCAGCAAACATAGTGGCTTCAGGGGTCATGTTTCAGATACTAGGAAGGTAATGACTAGCCAAAGTATTCTCGTGTATCTAATAATCTTAGTAAAGTTCTGATATGCAGGTTTAATCAGAGTGTAAGTTACCAGATTGAATAATTTGTCATTACTATGTTAAATTAGCAAGTGATACATAAGTTGGGGAAAGGAGGTCAAAATCCTGCATTGATTAGCATACAGTGTTCCTGATTCCTCATGCATTTCTTTTATGCACCATCCTGATTTTGGTACTTCAGAGACATTTTGGTCAGTTGCCAGCAGTGTCCAGACATAACCAGCTGCCATATGGAAGTGAGTTTGTACTATTTTGACACATTCAGTAATTCTGCTGGTACCAAGTGGCATATATTAGAGTGAATTACAGTTGATAACTGAAAGTACTAGTATCTCTGTGGTGATGTACTGTACACTTTTCAGAGTTAGTCCGTTGATCAATCCTGAAACTGTTCATACTAATGGTAAGTAGAGACATACCTTTAATAATACTTTCATCTATTGCCATGGGAGTACTCCTTATTGATATTTCTCTTCTGTTAGACATGGCTCTTCTCTTGATGATAAACTTCAGCAGTTGAAGCTCCACTGGATTTACTGTGCACTTTTCTGGTGCACTTTTCTGGAAAAGAGCTTCATGGCTTTTAAGTAAGGCCCTGAATATCAGCAGAGGCATTGACATGTCTATGCAAAGCAAGATTGTATGGTGTGTACTTTCTTCCTTGCTCCCTATCCCCCCTCAAAATTTGAGTATTTGACCCTTCCGTTTTAATTTTCCAGGTGTCCAAAGGTCGGGCTAACTCAATAAACTACTGAACACTTGGAAATCCAGGGGGTCATGTACATATGCAGAGGCCTCTATAATGTATCTGTGATATGCAGGACATGTAACTGCTGGAGTGTCACTGCCTGTTGATGATGATGATACTTAGGTTTTGAAGAGCTGCACTTAAGGCCGGTAGAGTCTCTGTAAAGAATGACCAGATACCATCATAGGCTGCTTTGTGAGTGACCACACCAGCAGTTTAGTACAATATGGTTCCATTCACCGTAATGGTCTTCCTTTGAGTACAACTGCGTGGATGAAGGAGAAGTGAAGGTTTGTCTTTGCCATAAGAAAGAGTTGCCTCCCGTAAAACACGTTAGTACAGCTGTTAGTCTAGAAAGTTACTTTCGTTTATTATATTTCTCACCTTTTTTGCCTTGAATTTAAAAATCTGTCTAGGATTCAAAGCTCTAACTTCATCAGCCACTATAGCTGTTAATCTTAGAGGAAGATCTTTATCTAATTAACCTATAAATAGGAAACCAATTCAAAGGTGCTGGATGTGTGCTGAAAGCCTTTTTTGTGATCATTATTCATCAATAATAAATATGCTTTTCATCTGAACATGGTAATAGTCCATGAGATGTATGCCAAGCTAATGGGGAAGACAAGTTTTCTGGCTCAAATAATGAATTGCACATGATAAACTCCTCTCTAGAGGCTGGACTTAAGCTTAAAATAAATGCAGGCCTCTGAGAATTTTTATTCCTCTAATGGTTGAATTGGCAGTAACTGTACTGTGTCTGATAAAATTAAGTTGACTGAAAATGTGACTTCTTAAATAGGAGTAGACAAAAAAATAAAAATACTAGAGGCCTAACTTGATTTGTGTTTTACTCTGTAATGTTTTAGGGGTTTCAATGCGTTTTTATATATTCGTGAAATCTGTAGATTGCTGAGGAAATGCAGTAGAGTTACTTGTACAGACTTTTGTCAAGGTCTGTTGCTTGCTTGGTAATAGCTAATGACCTCATGAAAACTGTTTCTGAGATGATGGCAGTTAATAATCAATTGTCGGGTTTTTTTGCATGCTTCCATTTTTCTCTGTTCTATCCTTCCTTTAACTCAAAATAGCAACAAGTACAATTCCTGAAGGCTAAAGTAAATAAGATGTTTCATTTTAAAGATTAAAACTACATAAGAGAGCACCACTAAGTTGTAAAATGAACTCCAGTTGCATACAAAATTTTGAGCGGAGTTTTTCTTAGCAAATCCATTTAATTTTGAAACCAGTGCAGTTTCATTGATTAAATAAAACTGAAGAAAGAATATTAGTGGGGAGAGAGTTTTATTGTAATATCTAAAATGAAACATAGAAGGAAAGTGAAAGAAGTCTTGTTTCTAAAATATTACCCGCTCTAGTCCTGTTAAAAACTTAGCGTCTTGTAAGATAACCTTATGTCTCTTCTTTTTTTTTTTTTTAAGTGGAATGACTTTCTTACATGAACACTAAATATGGTAAGTCCAGCAAGCAATTTTAGTGCTGGTTGGTAAAATACTACTCTCGGACACAGTCAAAAAATAAATTAGTTTAAATCTTCTTTCTCCTTCCTTTTTTCCTTCTGACTGACAGCTTTCACAATACTGTTGAAATATTGTCATCACTCCAAAATACATGAACCTGGTAACGGAGAAACTATGTAAAGATCTCCAAAACAACTAGGATATTTTAGTAGTTGTGGGATGTTTTGCTGTATGCGCTAGATAATGGCCTTTTCAAAAGTACTAGGGATAAACACAGTGATTTATCTTGTTCCTGTTTGTGATGAGCCCTAAGTCCTGCAGGCATCTCAGAAGATCTCTTCTGGCAATGTAGTTTTTGACTGGGTAAGAAGCTTAAAGCCAAGCTTATGCCTAAAGCTGACTAGACTCTATAGAATAAAGTCAAAGTCCAAGGGCAGTCTTGATTCGATAAGCAAGGAGACAAAGCTCATTTCTTCAAAGTATGCAGTAGTGTGTGAGCTCTTGCAAATAAAAAGGAAAATGGTATAACTGCTCTTTTCAAAGACGTGAGAGGGGGGGAAAAAAGCATCAAAGTTACTGTTGAGCAAGAATAACTGACTGTAATGGGTTTTCTGCATAAGGAGTCCAGGGTTCCCACTTTTGGTCCCGATATTTCATCTGTGTTACTGATGTAAAATATCTAATTTGAGAAGAACAGCACTAGTTTCCCTTCTCCAAAGGGTCTGTTCGAAGTACTTGGATAAAAAAACTGAACTCATTCTATACTATGTGATAAGTCTTGAAGTAGTTTCCATGTAGTGGCACAAACTTGAGATGCCCTGAGAGTTTGCTCAGAACAGCCAACAGCATTTCAATCATAGTCTTTTTTTGGGGCAGAGGGAAGGAAGTAAGTCTGTTTTCCATCTGTGCATGAATGCTGGTCTGTAAGAGAAAGATGACACTGTATAGTCTTTTGTCAGTGTATTGCTTTTTTCACATTAAGAAAATACTTTTTTATTCAGAGTTTCTAATCTTCATGTAGAAGTGAAAACACTACAGCTAACTATTTTTTTTCTTTTCTGTCCAGCTGTGGTTTTTTAGTTACTCCCTTATCTGTGTTACTCTAGTTTTCCACTCAGTTTATTTATTCTGGTTGTGAATTTGTAAACACTTGGCTTTCTGAAATAAGCTATTAATTTAATGATCTGACTTGTATGCTTACGCTACAGTTCATGGAAAAAGTTGTCCATGGGCATTTTATTTATTGTATTTGCTTAATCATTACAGAGATACCTTGCATACTTCATGTTTTCCTATGTCCTTATCCTCATAAGCCTCACAAAAGAAGAACTTGAGATCTTTTTTTTTTCCTCCTGCTTTATTGCACAGTGTAGTTTCTTTACGTACTATCTGGATTCAGCAGTTCTTGCTTGACAGTAATAAGTGCTTCTGTCCAGTGGCATTGGCATTGTTACTGGCCCCGACAGTTGTTGTAGAGAGCAAGGAAGCTCTGAAGAACAAGTGTTTGAACTGTGGAGTGGAGACTCCTGAACCCAGGGTGGTGGTGGCCCTTTGGGAGCAAGGAAGAGAACCTGCAGTTCTAGGAATTCTAATAATTAAGAGCAGAGATGATATATTCTTGCCCCAACATAGCTTGGGGGAAAAGAATGGTTTGTATACATCAATGGTTTGTAGCTTGTGTTCTGCCAAGGGCTGTTTAAGTAAGTAAACTTACATTTGAGGTGGTGATATGGAGAGTCTGTAAGAAGCAGCTCTTTAGGTGTTTTTTTAAATTCAAATTATTAAAGAACGACAGAGGGGCAGTCTGAAATACATATAGTGTTTATCAATAGCATCCTGAAAACTTTTTTTTTTTTTCTTTCTGAAATAGTGATGCTCTAGTTCCACTTGTGTACAATCAGTATGCTGGGCAGGGGGGTCTTTTCATCAATATGAAGAAAAGTCTGAAGCAGACCTAGAGCAAGGGAAGCGTGAGAAAGAATTGACAAATAAACGTGTAATTATAATCATTGTCAGTGTTCCAGCATACAGCAGACTTCTTAGAAGTTACTTACTGTTTACTACTCATGTTTTTGTGTACAAAAATAAACAGCTACAGTGAGTATAGAATTGTCTAATAAGGAGCTCGACTTCCATAAGTTGAAATTCTGATATTTATTGTAGGAATATATGTTTAACATAGAATTCTAAGTATCAGCTGTTTGAATGTCGGGGGTTTTTTTGTATTAATAGGTAGACGCTGTCCAGAATACATGGGGAGACTCCAGTCCTACTTGCGATGCTTCTGAACTAAATATGAAAATATTAATTGGCAATATTACCTCTGTCTCTAAGGATGGTGGCTATATTAATCAGAATACTTTTTTTGCAATGGAAGATGTCTGTGAAGGTGTGTAGGGGCTTTCTTGTTTGCTCTTCCTTAATTTTTTTTATATGTACAATAGAAATATCTTCTGATAAACTTGCAGTGCACATCGCAAATAAGTTCTAGTAGAGTGTATGTAGTGAAACAAACATAGGGATTTGGATGAATAAAGCTACCTACTGAGCATGACTTCCATGCAGTCATGTAAGCATAAGTTACATGTAAGCAAGTGTATTTTTCCACTAGCATCTCTTACTTAGTTTGTCATAACCTAATGGGGGAAGAACTGTGAAGAGAAGTTTGAACTTGGTGGATCTGAATAATGCATTGTTCTGGCTGGTCATTTTATTTAACTTCAACTAGTTCTGTATGGCAGTAATGCAAATATCATTAGTAGCAATTAAACTTGAGATATGTTCTGGTTTACATAGGCTTCAAACCTTGTGAAGGTGACTGGGTGGAAGCAAAATATTTTATTAACCCGTCAACATGGAACAGTGAAGCAGTTGCTGTAAAGCCTTTGAGATATAAGCGAGTAGACAAGGTAAATGTTCTGCACATTGTTTTTGGCAAGAGGAATCTTGTGTGAAGTGGGGTTTTGAAGGTGGTTTTAAGTTGCTAATGTTGGTAGATCTATAACACATTTTTAAAAGATAAAACATATCATCTCATCTGTTTATAGGATTATTTCTAAAGTAACAAAGCTTTTTGAAAAAGCATGCACACTTTGGTTAAAACAGGAAGAGTAACTTATTTACTGGTTATCAATTGTTGATTTGGATGCTTACTGTTGTTTTAGTTACATTGGTTGTAATGAGGATGTGTGGATTTTCAAGTAATGACTGTGGAATTTATTATGTTTAATTTATCCAAGTGTTTTGGCTTAAAAACAACCATTCTCCCTTTTTTTATTTTAATGAAAATATTTGTTCCCTATAGGAATACATATGTTAGGTTTATGGTTTATTGTATTTGCCTTAACTGTATATATTGAATAATATTTGCGTGTCAACCATAGGGAAAAAATTTCTTCTCCTGTGACTGCTTGTATTGAAGTATAAATTAGATAAGTTGGTAAGTCAAAGACAGGTATGATGATTAAGTCAAATGTACGTATTGTAGTATGCCCTTAAGTGGAGCCTATTGATTATCTGAAGTACTTGTGTTTGTTTACACTTTTAAATCTAAAGACAGGCACAGTGATTCTAGGTTAGAGCCGTATGTTTACCTCCCATGAATAACTGAAACTTCAGAACGCAGCTCTGTTACACATTCTAGACGTACTCTGTTAGCACAATGCTAACACACTGTTAGCACAGTTCTCTACACACGCTCTGTTAGCACAATGCTAGAATGACTTGCAGGAAAAAAAACATGCAATGGTAGTATGCCTCTTAGCTTAAGCAGATAATATCAAGTAACACTGAATAACAAACTGTTACAGGTTCGCATTTCCAGCATCTGTGGAAGAAGTGGTACAGTAGATGAGAGTATATTTTTCACTTTGGATTCATTGAGACTTCCTGATGGCTATTCACCTTGTAGACATGATCTAGTGAACACGATTGTGGTGGAGAGCAATCAGTCATGTTATATTTGGAGAGCTCTCTGCTTGGTGCCAGTCAGCCAGGATGGGTAATATTCTTTCATTCTCTTTCCACTTAATAACAACTAGAGATTAATTGTAATTATGCAGCTTAAATTTTGTTGCATCTATTAAATGAGAAATACTGTGAATTCTTCACTAGTTGACTAGGAGGTGTGGTAGATCATTGGGAAGATCAGAGTGTGATAGGATTTGGCCCTTGGTTTTTCTTCCTTTCCAGAAGGTGGGGACATCTGTGCTTACTAGAGAAGCAAAACTAGTAGAAGCTGAGCTCAGGGATATTGCTAGGCAAGGAAGGAATTTTGCATAATTTTGTTAGAAAAATGCCAAGCTCATGCTCTTACCTTGTGTTTCCTCTAATCAATGTTCTTCTAGTGAGGACTTTACTGTTTGAAAACCATTTTCAGTGAGGCTGATGTAAAATGGATGTTTCTTTAATCCGTTTTCCTTAAGTTGTAGTTATTCTTCAAACATCTGTCACAAACAGAATAGTTTAATGGTCTGAATAATAGAGATTCGTTGGGCTTGCAAATATCAAACTGAGAGGGTCTGCTGGCACTTTAGATGGCATGTGTGATGTGAGGAGAATCTGGACAGATTGCAGAAAAGGCTGGAAAAAAGTAGATGATGTTCAGTATGGAGAAGAAGCAAAACCTTGTGAAATAATCAACTACACGAATGTAGAATGGGCAACAACTAATCAGTAGCAGTTCTGCAGCAAAGATCCGGAGTTTGACTTGTGAGTTTAAGTGTCTGTTCTGTGAAAAACACAAATGCTGCCCAAATGTTTATAATTAGGACTATTACCTGTAAAATCTGTCACTCTCAATGCTAACAAGGCCTTTGTAAGATTACCGAGTCTGATTCTGCAGGCCAAAAATAAGCTGTGAACCAATCAGAAAGTCCAAGGAAGAGCAAAAAGGACATTCTGGTACCTCTCAAACATAGTCTTTGGGAGAACTTGCCTTGTTCTATCTCTAGGAAATATAGCTAAGGGCAGTACATATGTCTTCAAAGGAACTATGAAGAATAGAATAAGCTGTTTTCACTGCAAATAACAGATATAATAGACTTAAATTGTACCTAGACGAAGCTTGAAGTGTGTACATCACTTTGCATAACAGTACAATTTGTTCACTTATTTTTTTCAGTTGGACCTATTTTTAATGATGGATTTTATTCAGAGAATTATTACTAAAGCCAAGGTACAAAAGTAGACCTTAGGGTTGATTTCTCAGTTTTAGTGTATTTCCTACCATATCAAAAAATTGAGGCAGCTTAAGCTGCAATGGGAGACATCTAGCGGGCTTTGCTAGTAAATTGATGTAGCTAATAAAGAACAGCTGCAGTCATTTTCTACTTTATGATATTAGACAACTAATAGAGTAGTACAAGTATTGGCGATGTTACTAAAACATTTCCAAGTTATTTTCATGCCACTTTATCTAACTGAATAGTTTCTTAATTGTAGAATAGAAATTTAAGTGGTTTCTACAGGTAGCTGACACTGAGAGGTTAGAGCTCTGGTCACTGTCTCAGACAGGGAAGAGCATGTGACTTTGGTTTCATAGGTATTTTTCATCAGTAGTATGTGTGATTGATAGTAGTTTTTAAGGGTGCTTTTTGTTTTTCAGTTTTTTTTAATTTCTTCTTCAGTTTGCTGCTTGCAGGTTGTAGCAGTAAGCAGAAGCCGTAAGTGCTTGGGGTACATCTTGAAACACTCCCAGTCCCATCATTTTATCTCTTAAGCTCCAGTGCTAATCATGACTCTTGCTAAGGAGCTGATCTTTGTTGTGTCTTGGTTCAGCTCCCAAAGAGATCCATAATAGCTTCAGTCACCATTTGATTCAGCTCTTCAGCAAAGATTAGCTAGCTTCTTAATCATTTTAGTCTTGTATCCAAAGTTTTATGCTCGTTTATTGTGCTGCTGACAAAAGGCTTGTTGTTTTTAATTTGCTGCTTAAATTAGTAAAGGTAGTCTAATTGTCTTGGAAGTATAAGTAGCTGAGAAAAAGTGAACCCTCTAAGCTGCTTCCTAAATACTGTGACTATGCTTTGATACAGTGATTCTTAAACTTGTGCTGAATCAAAGATATTTGCTGAGTCTATTTGTGTTTCAAAATTGCTAACTAAAATTATCATTACAGACAGTCTCACTCTAATGGAGTCAATCTGGATGAGCCTTCTGAAAACTTAATGAGAGACAAAGGAGGGTTGGAAGTATCAAGAATGACTAATTTTGGAACTCTGAAGCAGGGGGAATCTAAAAGAATGGTCATTTGGATAGAGTAAGCCTTTCTGATTGTTCTAAGCTTGCTTTCTCTCCATCACTCCATAGTCTTTAAACCTGTCTTTCGTATAGAAGCTTCTCGTAGTTGAACCTTGTGGTTCATGGTCTTCAAGTAACCCCGAAATACTATGGAATTAAAGAGAATTTTGTATTGAATTTAATGTTTTTAGGATGGTCTTTTTACTGAGCATCTGTGTTGCCAATAGCGCTTTGAGACTCCCCAGTCCTATGTCTCTTCTCAGTCCTAATAAAATCCTTTCTGGAATGAGGATTAAAGTAAATGCTTTTACTTGCAAGTGTGCTTAATTTAAACTGCAGATACGCTGTCATCTTCAAAAATCTTAGGACTGTTGCATACTCATGTATTAAAAGCAGCCCCAATTTTTTTTTTTTTTTTTAACTTGGGTGCTGGAGAACTTTGGTGTATCCTTAAGGGCTTTTTGTTTTGGTGGTTTTCTTTCGTTTTTGTTTTTGCATCTGGGCATAGAGGCCCAAATGAAGTCACACCTGAATACCCTCTGTTTGTTGCTATGTCCTCTTTCCTAAGAGTTAGTTACCCCATGATAAATTTTAAGTTACCATAGCTTTTTTATACACAGTATTTCTGTATGCTTCGTATGGTAGTTGATGTGACTTAGAAATATTAACATTTAGCAGAGGTTTTAGTCCTCATGAGCTATAAGCAGCAGTGCAATTTCTTTCGGATAGCAGTTGTGAAATAATGGTGAACTAACCTGCCACAGACAGTTGTATTTGACTTCAGGTAGAATTAAGCTTCCCAAGAACATAAACTATGCATTTAATTCATTAATTACATAACTACTTCTAGGAATAAAGGGAGTGTACCACAATCCTTAATCAGCTGCAGATTAGCTGGATGGGTGAAAGACAAGCAATTCAGTTTTCAGATTCCTCAGAAATGTGAGAACAGTCCAGAAGCGTATCTGTCATCTTTTCCATTAAATCAAGAAAACCTCTCGAAAGCTGCAATTAATTCATATAATGACAGTGGAGGAACAACATACGAGTCATTGAATAATACATCCATTATGAAGAATGGAGTCATTCCAGGTACAGTGAGATGTTAACATTTGAATG